CTGAATAGCATGAGCTGAAAGCTGAGAAGTGCAGTTTTCCTTTTGCTTATTGTATGTAATATTATCATATAATAATAATAATAATAATAATAATAATAATAATAATAATAATAATAATTGCTTACACTTGTATAGCGCTTTTCTGGACACTCCACTCAAAGCACTTTACAGGTAATGGGAACTCCCCTCCACCACCACCACTGTGCAGCATCCACCTGGATGATGCGACGGCAGCCATAGTGCGCCAGAACTAACACCACACACCAGCTATCAGCGGGGAGGAGAGCAGAGTAATGAAGCCAATTCATAGATATAAATTTGAATGTATCTCTCCTGTGTTCTGCCATAATGCTGTTCTTGTGCACTGTCAGAGTGTATAATTAATTTCATATTTTGCACCCTACATCTCTCTTCAATGCTCTAGCGTTGTGTATGCGAGACATAAGTATTGTCCTGCCCTCATTTTGACTCTTAATGTTTCATTTGTGATTTATTTTCAGTACAATGTTTGCATGGGAGTCATGGATACAAACATGGACTATGTCAAAATGCCTTTAGCCTGTTGCCCTTGCAAAATTGAAATAGCTACAGATAGCTCCTGGACTATAAACACATTTATGGCCTAATTTGATTGCTTTGGCCTGTGGAAATCAGCTTACATGTCGGTCCAATTTATTTATAACATTGCTCAGTTCTGAGCTAGTTCAATGGTCTGATAGTTCATGAGGTCTTTTTCCAAACAGAGATATGAAGCAAACTACACATCCGTTTTTTGCTTTGAAACTGTTGTTAACTTTATACACTTTAGTTCCCAAATTAAACTGCATTTTTTTCCATTTCTATGCTTCCTTTCCCATCTCTCTCCTCATTAAGACCTGCTCAGTTTGAAAGCTTCCTCTGAAATGGGATGTACTCAGTTTCTGCTTTCCTTTCTGCTTGACTTAGCATGGTAAATATAACAAATGTTGCAATCGACTACAGTTAGGCTATTATCATATTTTGTTTAAAACAGGAAAAAAGGTGATGTTCAGAATTGCAAAGTGCACAATCTAGATAGCATCAGTATAATTAAATTCAGAAACAAACTGCTGCATTAAAGTGCCACAATAAATACATGGTCTGAGGCTCTTGCTGAGGACAACAAGTTGTGGAATGTTAACAACAGCAGATTAGTTATAAGACCTATAACAGTATTGTAGTCCTGAGGAGGAAAGAACTAAATCTGGTGTACTGTAACAAGTACTTGCTGAAGACATCTGTCTGAACGCGTGGGGTTTAGAAGTGTTTAGTATGAAGCAGACTTTGCAGATATACTGTATAACACCTGTTAAATTATCCCATGTTTACTTTTATATTCTGTATTTTTGTAAATATATTTGCATAAAACTCAATCTTTGGGGTTGATAGAATATATGGAGAATATATTAATAGCATTATGTGCAACATATTTAAATAAATACAAACTTGACCAACTTGAATAAAAAATGTAACATATACTGTAGAAAATATGTTATGAAAATATATTTACAATCTGTTGGATTACAAGTAGGCTCCAAGCATTTCAAACTTCAGAGAACAATATGCTAATTAAATGTTTCTATATTATTATTAGCATACTGTTCAATATATTTATTAAACTTGTAATCCACAATGGATTTACAGTATACTATCTAAAACAATTATTGGTATGTGCACATACACTGTATACACAAAATTCAAAGTATATAACATACAAATGTTTAATGTCTTTCAAAAAGCCCATAATGTACAGTATTATTCATACATTGCATACATTTGTGTCGCTAACATGTTGATGTCACTTTAAAAAAAACTCACCAAGGATACAAAAATGCAATTTTATGACATCATAAACACTTTCTTGCTACTAAAATAAAGCCTTTGTAACATTTATATTTGGGATTTTTAACATGCAAAAGCAAAATGAAAAATGTCTTTTTTAAATTTAAGGCTGTATTCTGTTGCAGTCTCAAATTATACATAGAAATGTACTGTATGCATAGATCATGTCATATTCATATGCATATTATTGTTTCCAAAATATATTTTGAAACATTTTTAATATGATCGAGAAAAACAAAAAATAATAGTGGATAAAGATAATGAACATATTAATGTCTAAAATATTTTTTATAGTATGTTACAAATATGTTTAAGCAACATTATGAACCTTATTTGTAATGTAGATTTTAATGTAAATTATATATTTGACATTATATATTTGAATTTTTATATCATGTATATATTTGGTGAAAAAATATATAATTCTTTATATCATAGATATATTTCTTACCTTATAGTGTTGATTACAAAAGGGAATATATTGAATTTTAGTTAACCAGGCAAATTTCTTAATGGCACAATAAAACTCATTCAGTTGAAAATTCTTGTTTTGTCTATTATTTAGAGTAGATGTCCAATATGTGAACCACATAGAAGGGTTGTTCCATTAAAGGTCAAATCTCCTGCAGAGCTGGGTCATATTTTACCACCTTAGTGAACTTACATATTGTGACCTAGAAACAATTTAAAAGCTTCAAACACTGCTTTAATAATAAGATTTTGGGATTGAATGGTTCCAGAATTAGCTGGCATGACAGTTTACACCTCTGCCTCAAAGACCCAGCGTCTTGCCTTTAATTCAGTCCTAGGGACTCTGTCTGTCTGTGTGGAGTTTGCACGTTCCCCACACTCAGGTTTCTTGCGGCCTCCATAGGCACTCAGGCTTGCTATGACTGTTCTCTGTGGCCCTGTGGTGAACTGGGAAGAACAGAGTTCTCTGAGTCCTGCCATACAACTCCGCTGCTAGGAGATGATTTTGGTCTGCCATGCTCTTCACCAGCCCTAGTAGTTTACTAGCACACAGCCATTGACAAGGGCTCCCAATATTTCTCCCTTTGTGCTATCAGATATCCCTTAACACATCTGATATCTCTTAATATAGGATCAATCCTTTTAAATACCATTTCCCAGATAGTTGAGATTTCATGCATTTCAGTACTTCATTTTCAATAGGCACATTCTCCCCATCAGTCGCAGATATATGGAAGCCTATACTGTATATTGGTCATCTATGTGTGACAGGTTCAGTGCAGTTTTAATGCCATGTTATCCATCAGTTTTCTATTTGCTTTTTCTAACATGGGATCAGTGGTGGTGGGGGTGCTGAACCCTCTTCTTTCAAGTAAAAGGCTCAAAGCAAGATAAGCCCTGGACAAGACGCCAGTCCATTGTAGTGCACACACAGACACAGACAGAGTCGCACACACTCACCAGGAACAATCTTCCAATTAACTTACAAGTACTGTAAATGGGAGGAAACTGTAACGAATCCAAGTGATGAGGTATGAGAATCCTATGCAAACGAAGGAGAATGTAGATGCAGAAACAGGTGTCCAATCCAAAACGTTTGGCGAGTTCGTAGTCAAAAGTAAAGGTAGTCCAAAATCCAAAAGAGGTATCACAAGAGGATTTTTAACAACAGGTGAGGTAGGAGCTCTCTAGGAGAGGAATCAATACTGAGCAGCGAGAAGCGAGTTTAGATGGTTTAAATAGCGCTGCGTGTCGCATGGTAGATGATGGGTGATGATGGATTAACAAGTGTGGCGGCACTTGTTATTATTGCTCTGATGCTGGCACTGGTTAGCTCTTTTGTGGGTTGATCTCTGCTGATTGGCGGTCGTGACAGAAACTGGATCACATGTGGGAGAAACCCTGGTGAACATGGAAACAACTTACAAACTCCAAGCACCCAGAAATGGAACCCGAGGCAATGATGCACCACCTTGCCATTCATATACTGTAATATTTTATTTACTGATTACTTATAGGATAACATTGTATGTGAGCTTATAAAGGCAGCACAACGCTGCCATTGTGTGAACCTCTTCTTACATGCGTACAGAGACAGTGCCAAGTACACAAACACATGCAATAGCAAACCAGATCTGCCTTGCTGACACAATGACTGGATAGTTAACAATTTCTCAGGTTTATAAAAGTTCATAAAAATCATTTTATTTAAATCTCAGAATCATTATGCTGATTTTGCTTGATCCTTTTTCAGCCTGTGCTGCCAAAAATAAATTGTAGTTATTATCAGTTAGGGTAGGCTGCTTAAAATTCAAGGAGACATTCCATACAAATTACCAGAAGTAGCCTTTCCTGGCATGAGTGAGTAGCTGTCATAAGGTTGAAGGCTCTTCTAGCAATTAATACATTTTTGTGCACCTTTAAGAGTTAAATGTTTAAAGGTACGGATATTAGAAAAACCTCGTAAAATAATATTAGCCTCATATTACAAGCTGTGACAAGCATACTGTACACACACACATATATATATATACATGTACTGTAAACTGTACCACACAGATAGGACTTTAGTGTGGCACAGTGGTTAGCATTCCTGCCTCACAACGCTGGGGCTCTGTGTTCAATTCGCCCTGTGTTTGCAGTTTCTTCCCACAGTCCATACTGGTAGGCTAAATGGCTTCTGGGAAGATTGTCCCTGGCGTGAGTGTGTGTGTCTGTGTGTGCCCTGTGATGGACAGGTGTATAACCTGCCTTGTACCCATTACTTGCTGGGTTAGGCTCTGACTGCTCCCTGCCATCTTGGACTGGATAAAGCTGTTAGTAATTGGATGGATGGTGGAAGTTCTCTGTATCATCTTATTTTGATTTACTTGTCACTCAAAGATTATAAAACCATAAACGGGCATAGTATTTTGGATATTGTTTGTTATGCAAGTGGAAGAAGTTCTTCCGACACTGAGATCTTCATGCAACGGGATTATTTTCAGAGGATAATGATGTTACAACTCAGTTCAGCTGGTATCCAGTGGAGATGCAATGTTTTCAGACCTTGGTTATGCTGTGCATTACTATTCCTCCCTGCAGTTTGCAGTGCAATACAATTCCTTCCTGCAGGTGCAGACTCTTTGGGATAGATGGAGAGACCTGAGACCTGATTTCTCTCCCTGCAGATTCCCCAGGTGAGCTACGCATCGACGGCGCCGGAGCTGAGCGACAATACCCGCTATGACTTCTTCTCCCGCGTGGTGCCACCAGACACCTACCAGGCCCAGGCTATGGTGGACATCGTCAAGGCCATGAAATGGAATTATGTCTCTACTGTAGCATCGGAGGGGAACTACGGCGAGAGCGGCGTGGAGGCCTTCATCCAGAAATCGCGTGAGGATGGTAAGCTCCTGCTTTCTCCTGGAGTTGAAATCCTATCTTCTCTCTCTGTCACAAAAACTCACCAGGGCTCCACCAGCTCCATGTCTTCCAGCACATTTAAGGAACAGTTCCAATATTAAAGAGAAGGCCGTCATATACACACATTTCCCCTTCCACTTCAGAAATACTTATTTCAGCTTTACAAACACAAATAATACACAGTTGTACTAATGTTTTTCTTGTAAATGAAATTTGTCAGGATTATTATTATTGCTTATTGTTATTAACAGCTAAAACCACATTTTCAAATTTGGCAGCCCAAAATCTGAATTACTTTATGTGTAAGGTGGGTATGTTTCAACGTCTTTTGTATTTCTACAAAAAATCCTAAAATACAACAGTTTTCAATTTTGTTATTGTCTGTTTTGTGTTCACTTAATGTACAAGCCCTGAGAGAAAACCAAGGCATCTCATTGTTATAGTGTGAGAAGTTAATAATGAGTCATTATTATGAGTCATTATTGTCCCAAGGACAAATGGATTGACCACCTGCATTTTTTGCATCACAAGAAACAACAAAAAGAGGATTAATCAAATTCTGGTGTGCCTGTGTCTACTCTGATTGTTAACTCTTGAATAGACTCTTATTTTTATTAAGGCTTCACAACCCTAATTTGAAATCAGTTTTGTCTGCCACAAATTCTAGGAGAATCATGCAAGTCTTATTTTATTTAACATGTAAATTTTGTCTAATGTTCTTTTTTTCACATTTGGAAATTTCTGTGTTTTACATATTGTAGTATAGCATCCAGCTCAAGCATAAATTGCTTATACCATAATTCCTGTCATTCTACTTTATTGCATTGCATGGTGATACATTTTGTAGTCTGTCTCGCAAAGAAAGCACTTTTAATTTTAGTTCTGCTGTCTTCTTTATATTGTATTGTTACAGTATTATAATTCACACTGCCCCTGGGTTTAATACTTTATATTGTAAGCAACTTTATATTGTAAAGAATTCTAGATTAACTATTACTAGAACATTCCAAGCAGATGAAGTCTCATCTCCGCTTGTGCCCAGGCCCATAATTTGAGTACTGAACTAGGTCCTGTGTTTGGAATTTGTATTGCAATGGCTTCTGCCGAATAACGATTTTGATAAAAATTGGAGAAGAAATGTTTTAACAGCAGGGAAGACAGATTAACAAGGTAAATTGTTATAAATGATTGTAGGACTGTTATTCTTCCCACAAACACATCAAATGTGCCTATCAATACCGTAGTGCTGTACTATAAAACACTTAGAATGGCACTAATTATGTTTGATGTGTGCTGTGATGAAATGTATTACTTTCTTCTATTTTAGTAAGATGAGATAAAGGTTGAAGGTGATCGTTTCCAATATAAATTGATTTGATATAAGTAATATCTGATTTCCAATTATTGCTGTTGCTTTGAATCTGATATCAAATGTGAATTATACCCATGTGGTGAAATTAAAAAAAAATGTTTCTGTATTTATATCATCCCAACTGGCTTCACTTCCTACTAGCACCTACAGTTTGAAATTATGTCGAACAGCAACTTGCTATAAATCTCTTTCTTAACGATGCTTTTCGTGTGGACCTCTTTGCAGAATCATCCACCAAACATGCATTTTGTTCTGTTAATGGTAAAGCTTCAACTACAGTACATGCCTGAGTATTCCTTTAGAGACCATTAAATATTTATTTTCCCACAGAGAGAGATTACCGGGATATTGTCAGCTGTTACTTTCCGAAACCTTACATTAACATACTTCGCAACTTACCAATGAAATTTCTGTTATATACTGTAAATGGTGGCAGTCTGGAATATTTCTCACTTGAAAAAAGTGCAACTAAAGCTAGAAACAGAGATTACACAATGAAAGACAGTCATAAAAAAGGACACCTTTTTTAAGATGGGAAGTAAAATTGCTTAGTAGTACAACAAAATTCAGTCCAACTCTGTCCTCTCTTCATTAATAGCTTTGAACAGTCATCTTGTGAAATCAAACAGAAAGAATGTGTTAGCTTTAAAAGCCTCTTTCCTAAAACTCGAGTGGACTCACTTGTGAATTACACATTGCAAACCTTTAAATAATAGAGACACACCATCAGGTGCTAGTCTGTAACTGGACAGAAAGCTGAAGTTCATCATGAACTGGGCCAAGGCCAAATTAAATAGCATTTTCAAAGGACTGAGATTTTGTTACTTACAGGCCCTGTTGACTAACATCAGTTCTGCATTTGTCTGGTCTCTGTTTTTATGTCTGCTATTTTTTATATAGGAAATTGATTTGGTTTAATTAAACACAGAGTATTAAATAATACAGGATAAGGGATATAAGAGTAGCACTTACAGTATGTTCTCTCTGCTAATTATATTCACTAATACTAAAAATACTAAAATAAATACGAAATATGAGATAGGAGCATCTAAGGCATACTGTATTCCCTTGGGGAACTGCATGTGCTTGAATTTCTATTCATTTGCTTTTGCTGATTATGCCTATTGTAGTTATGAAGAGCAAGCACACATTTTACAGAATAAAAGATGCATTCCCTCATTGTTACATTTCTGTGTAATATGTTGTCCACGCTTTGTTTACTCTTTCAACAAGAAGTAAAGGACAAAAAGTAATTTGACCTCTTCCTATCTTGCGACCTGTGAAAGAAATGATGGAGTCTACAGCATCACTGCAGCTATTGTTACAGTACACTGCAGTATATTGAAGTATGTTACTCAAGTTGTGAACCTATTGAGAAGAACTGCCAGCAGCCATATCACCCTGCAACTCATAATTGGCAACCCACTGAAGCTAAGCAGGTGTGAGCCTGGTCAGTACCTGGATAGGAGACCTCCTGGGAAAAACTAAGGTTGCTGCTGGAAGAGCCCCAGTATAGTACTACACAGAGCTTACTCTCACCTGGAGAAGATGGGGAGCATTGTGAGAGTTATGTTCTTTGACTTCTCCAGTGCCTTTAACACCATCCATCCACCTTTACTGAGAGATAAGCTAAGGGTGGCGCAGGTGGACACTCCCCTGCTGTCCTGGATTATAGACTGTGTCCCAACAGATTGTTAGCAGTACTGGGGCTCCACTGTCCTTGCTCCATTCCTGTTCACCTTTAACACCTCTGACTTCAGGTACAACTCTGAGACATGTCATCTGCAGAAGTTTTCAGATGACTCTGCAATTGTGGGGTGTATTAGAGAGGGGAGGGAGGAGGAATATTGGAGCTTGATTACCAATTTTGTGGAGTGGTGTCATCTTAACCATCTCCAGCTTAACACCAGCAAGACCAAAGAAATGATCTTTGACTTTCGAAGGAATAAGTCTCCGCTAAACCCTGTTTCCATCCAGGGTGAGAACATAGAGGGCGTACATTCCTACAAGTACTTAGGATGGATGATAAACTGGAGTGGTCTGGTAACACTGATGCCCTGTACAAGAGAGGTCAGAGCCAACTCTATTTTCTTAGGAGACTCAGGTCCTTTGGTGTGCGTGGAACACTGCTACACATTTTTTATGAATCAGTGGTGGCGGCGGCCATCTTCTACGCTGTTGTGTGCTGGGGCAGCAGCATCATGACAAAAGATGCAAATAGGCTCAATAAACTTATCAAGAAGGCTGGCACTGTGTTGGGGATCAGCCTTGACCCCATGGAGGTGGTGGCTGAGAGGAGAATGCTGACCAAGCTCACAGCCATCATGAACAACACCTCTCATCCGCTTCATGGGACTGTTACTGGGCAGCGGAGCACATTTAGCAATAGACTGCTCCAGCTATGGTGTTCAAGGGAACGTTTCCGCAGGTCTTTCCTCCCGGCGGCTGTCAGGGTGTATTAGCTGCCCTAGGCTAGGACTGTTAGCCCTTCATTTGCTCCTCTATGGACAGCATGTTTACTCCATTGTACTTTTTGGACAATCAGTCTGTATAAACCTATGCACATTTTGCACATATTTGATTGTTTCTTCAGTGACTATGATCAGCACATTTTGCACACACCTATGTATTTATTTATTTTTATTTATTTTGTTGTCTTTTGTTTTATAACTATTCTGATGTCTGTTTTGCTTGTCTTGGGCTGGACTGCTGTAACACATCATTTTCCCTACGGGATTAATAAAGTATTATCTATCTATCTCTATCTAGTGACGGGGACACTATACTGTAAACAGGCACCGTCCTTGGGATGAGACATAAAACTGAGGTCCTGACTCTCTGTGGTCATTAGAAATCCCAGGGCGTTTCTCGAAATGAGTAGGGGTGTAACCCCAGTGTCCTGGCCACATTTCCCATTGGCCCTTACCAGTCATGGCCTCCTAATAATCCACATCTATGAATTGGCTTCATTACTCTGCTCTCCTCCCCACTGATAGCTGATGTGTGGTGAGCGATCTGGTGCACAATGGCTGCCATCGCATCATCCAGGTGGGGCTGCACATTGGTGGTGGTGGTGGAGGGGAGCCCCCATTACCTGTAAAGCACTTTGAGTGGAGTGTTCAGAAAAGCACTATTTAAGTGTTACAGTAGCAATTAATTAAATTAATGAACTGTGTGCTGCAAAGATAACTACATCTCTGGTGATGGGAAACTGCTTTATTTCCAGGTTAACATCTTATTAAGATTGGAAAGAGGTATGTGTCACTTCAACTCCAGTGTTTGAGCCTTAATGTCACTGGAGGGGTAAAAAAACATAAGAGTGACTTGTTGTTTAATGAGTAACACAATTGTTCACTACAATCTCACAGGGGTCTAAGAGAAAAAGAGGTCTATGAGAAATAAAAGACCATTTAGACCAACAATATGAAAGTGCTGAAAATAAGTCTTAGAATGGTGTCATGTGGGTTTCTCTGGAGCATAATCCTTTTTCTTTCCTAACATTTTTTATTTTTTGTTAAGATAAAGTGTCTTTTCAACTGGAAAAGAAAAAAGAATTAATAATATAGCTATTGTTAGCGACGGGCTGTTACAAACCCTGTGCTGGTCTTGA